CAGGGGCTCTCTGACTTCTCTATGTCTAAAACCTACTGAGTTCTACAACGGCAAATGGTCGAGATCCCAGGGGAGCTCTCCGACTTCTCTATGTCTAGAGCATACTGAGTTCTATGATGATAACTGGTCGAGATCCCATCGGGGCTCTCCGACTTCTCTATGTCTAAAACCTACCAAGTTATACGACAAAACTAGTCGAGATCCCACTAGGGCTCTCCCACTTCTCTATGTCTAGAACCTACCAAGTTCTGCGACGACAACTGGTTGAGATCCCATGGGAGCTCTTTGAATTTTCTATGTCTAGAACCTACCAAAGCTCTGCGACGACAACTCGTTGATATCCCATTAGGGCCCTCCGATTTCTCTATGTGTATAACTTGCCAAATTCAACGATGCCAATAAGCTGAGATTCCACTGGGACTCTCTGACTTTACTATGACTAGAATCCATCAGGTTATATGACTTATAACAGATCGAGATCCCACCTAGGCTCTCTAATTGCTCTACATCACGAGTCCACCAAAGCTCTTCGGCTCCTTCATCAAAGTCGTAAATATTCCTAAATATATGATAGAAGTTGATCCATCCTCAAGGCCACCAACTTAATGGAGTCTTTGATGCGATTATGACAAGTTTATGTGATATGGGATAAACTCAAAACACTTCACCCTTACAGGTCTCGTGCTTTAGGGACTTATGTACATCCTGGGAATTTTATGAGGTCGGAGAATTATTAGAAGGCCGAACATCGAGTTCCATACTCATCCCAGACTCAATTAACCAAACTCTGAAAAGAATAGGCCAAGTCAGAATCGTTATAAGATTCTTAAAACAATCAAGGGTTGAAACAGTTACCGAACGCTTAATAACGAATCAGTTACATGTTGCTAATGGCTACTAAACTCATTGAAAGCACATCCCTTAGTATCCAAGAGGGGGCAAGATCTACCAATAAATGATCTTGAGACCAAATAGAAAAAAGGTGGATCGATGAATAGCACAAAAAAGAGTAGAAATACGTGAAAATTTTAGACTATTAACAATGATAACCATAAATCTTTCCTAACATACCTCTTATCAGACAAGACAATTGTAATCCCATCTTATCATTTTCAGAAAGATTTATCCAAATAATATTTAGCATGAATGAATAGTAAAACAAACTTAATTAACTTATACTCTAAATTAAAAAACACACCCAATATCAAAATTATTTTTATAATATGTTAATATTTTTATAATTATTAATAATAATTCAAGAATACTTATCCATGGACAATGAAACACTAATTTATCATAATTCTAAACACGAAAACCAAAATTGATTCGATACGAGTCATATCTTGTATTTGTAGTTGTCAAACTTTCTTTTCTCTCTTACAATATTATTCGTTTTGTGGGCTCCTCACTCCCAACATGCAATGCCTCACGGTCACGGACGGCATCAACCCTCAACCCCACCCTTTCTCACATCCTTTTCTTCACACTATTCCATTAATAATATACGAATATTATTATGCTATAATCATTTCAATGATTCCTTGTATAAGCCCCCAACACCTACGTGTCTGTGGATTGTAATTAAGTTTAGTTTCTTATTTGTATATATATCTGTTACTCGTTAGTCTCATTTTAGGTCGTTTAAGGTTATAAAACATCTCAAAAAATTTATTAAATACATTAAACTTTTAAGGTTAGTTTAATAAGGACCTCTTAGAAAGAGTTTAAAAATGGATCTTTATTAAGTTCAATAAAAGAACTAGGTGGCAACAAAACAAGGTCTTTAATATATGAAAAGAATAAGATGATGGGTTTCAATAATTTTGAAACTAATATAGAAAAAAACAAACACACATGTGCACACATATAAATTATTTATTATTTATGAATTATAAATTTAATATTATTTGCACATATATATTATTTATTATTTATGAATTATAAATTTAATATTATTTTCCGCATTAACCCTTACTTTCATTATAATAAAGAGCAATGTTACATTGCTCAGTTTATGAAAACCTATTTAAAAAAACAAAAACAAAAAACTATTTCATAAATCACAAATGTGATTTTTCAAAAAGAATTTAAAGATAAAATCTTACTATTTTAAATTTTAAAAAATTATATTAATAAAAAATAGGAAAAAATATAATATTAAAATTAATTATTAAACCAAAACCAAATTAATCATATTTATATTAGTCGTTACAGTTAGAGTTTAGAGTAAATAAAAGAATATTATAAATACTCAAGAACATAATAAAATAAAGTATACAACTTAAGCAAAAAATAACTAAGTAGCTACAAATGAAGGTCTAGAGCAAGGAAAAAAACAACTAAAGGGAAGCTACATCAAATAAATCACGAAATAAACATAATGTGAGTTTAGGTGATCGATTGGTCATAATGAACTTAGTGTTGAACTCAACTTCAATGAACTTTTTGTCTTTCATGAAGATGTCAGTCTTAGTTTGAAAGAAGCTGGTTGGTATGTAAATGTGTTTTTTTTAGGATTCATAGGAGGAGAAAAGGTTGTGTGAGTTAAGTGGGGGGATGTTTGTAAAACTTAAAGTGTAGGTGGTCTGAGAGCGAATAATCTTAGATTTATAAATATTGTCTTGCTAAGTAAGTGAAGGTGGACAATTCATATGGATTTTCCCTTGCTTTAGAGAGGCATTAACTCGGCAAGGTATGTTATTAGGTTTCGGTTCCCTTTAGGGAGGGGGATGGGATAAAGAAATGAGGCCTTATGAGGGTATCTCATTGGTGGAAATGAGCTTCCCATCTTAGGTCTTCACCTGATCAGGTAACATATTGGTTTGCCTCGTCTTGCGTTAAGACGGTTGGGGACAAGTAGAAGACTCAACTTTGACATGATCTCTGGGTAGGGACTATCCGTCTTTGTGTCTCTTGTGAGAGGCTTTTCCTGATCTCGGAGCAAAAATCTCAGGTAGTAGGTTTTCTAGATTCTTGGGAGAGTGGGATGTTTGATTTTGAAGTTTTAGGTGGATGGTGCTTTTTCTAGTTTGGAAGGAGGAACGTTTTTAGGGTTTGTTTGTCCTTATTTCGGGAGCGGTGTGGCGAGGCCGAATCGATTATTGGGTTTGGAAACTTGATTTGACTAGGGCATTTTTAATTAGATCAACTTATGGCATCCTTTTGGATTTGGCTGAGAGTAGCGATGATAATTTTGAAAGGGTGTTAAAGGGGCTTGCTAGGGTTTGGAAGAGCTAAGATCCTTTCAAAGTTGTAGTGTTCTCGTGGAAGTTGTTCTAGAATAGGTCGCGACTAGGGAGAATCTTCTGAGGCACCAAATTGTGTATGGGTCTGTTAGTGTGGAGTGTGTGTTATGTGTGGGACAAGTGAATTCGGCCGATCATCTCTTTGTTTTGTGTGAGGTAGCTTCAACTATTTGGTATAGATTTTTTAGGTTTGTGAAGCAGCACGAGCCTTTGGCAAAATTGATTTTAGGGGTGTTTGAGTTGTTGTAGAGTCTAGGTCTTAGGAAATAGGTGTCTTTATGCCTGATCTTAATCTGGAATTCTGTGGTCTAGACGATTTGGAAATTTTGTAAGAAAGTTAATTTTTTCTGAAAAGATTGATAGCTAATTACTGGATGATTATGATTATTAGCTCTACGTGAATGTGAGTTCATACCCATGCTTCAAATTTTTTCATTCTGTTGGCTGACTGGGAGCGGGACCAAGTGGTTAGGAATTTAGAGGTGCACTAGGTGGCCAACTTATTTTCTCTTGTTTTGTGCATGTGTTTATGTCTACCTCCTTCCAGCTTGCTCTTTCTGAAAATGTGTTTGCATCTAAGTAGTCAAGATAGAATAGACTAACTGGCTATTAGACTTATGTTTATTTTTCTTGGTTTTTGATTGATTTTGCTTTTCATTTTTGTTTCTCGGCGTGAGAGCTAAGCATACTTCTTTGTCTTGCGTATTTCTAATACTCTTTATTCCTTATTTTAGGTTGTAACTCTTGATTTTCTCTCTCTTTAATAGGCGATTTCTACTTTACTATTTTTTTTAAAAAAAACATAAACAAAATCATAAGTTGATCTAATTGAAAATGCCCTAGTCGAATTGAAAATAAATCTAACCAACCCATCCTACACAACACTATCTACCCAAGCACAATAGTAGATCATCTTTCCACTCTAAGAGAGAGAAGGAATTGTTCAACACATAGAATACTAAAAAAACTCAAAATGTAATCAAAATCACCCTTATCACTAAACTCCTTAATTAAAAAATAATCAAAAATATTAATTACTTGATAAAAATGTTTAAGAGATAATCTTAACATACTTCAATAACATATCAGAATGATGGAGAATTTATTTTTCAATCCAAGAATGAATTTTACAAAATGTATTCCCATAAAAAAAAAAGTTATCAACCGGTTTAAAGATACTTACTATATATACATAAGCTAGAACTTGAAGCTATACAAGTGCCAAGTCTAACTCAAACTATGTACAGTTAGAAGAACTGTCTTATATAGCAGCTCATATCATATCATATGATAAACTCCGTATAATTACACTCTTACATATTGTTAGCAAGGTATATATACCATAGTCCGTATAGTATATATAGTATATATAAGGAGTGAAAACGAGAGACAGAGAGAGAAAGAAATACGTGGTCCATCATACTAGTCTATGGCTGACTGACTGACACTCACAGTCACAGCAGCCGTGTTGATAATTAGAAGAGAACAGATCCAGCGGGCAACAACTCTTTCTTTCATCATTCTCTCTTCTCTCTCTCTTTTGCTTCCTACTACCTCCTCAATATACTCTCGTCAACTATATTCAGTTAATCTCTCTCAAACCTAGCTTCTTCTGCTACCTGCAATTCACATGTAACATCAATTTCAACTTGTCTAGTGATAGTACTAGTACTAGTACTATGCTTTCTTGTCTCAATTACTACATATACTTCAATAACGGTTGTTTTCATTTTGTACAGCTTCTATATTTCAAAGATGATGTCTGATGAAGCTGTTTCTGTTCCTTCCAACCTCATCAGAAGCACCTCAAACTCAAACTCAAACCCTAATCCTCCTAACCCTAATAAGAGAAAAAGAAGTCTACCAGGAACACCAGGCACGTTCATCACTTCACCTTTATATTATATATATATAATCTATATCTATATATTATCATAGTTTTTAATATTAATTATTATGTTAAAAACACTAATTAATATGAGCATGTTATGTTACAGATCCGGCTTCAGAAGTAATTGCTCTATCACCAAAGTCACTTATGACAACAAACCGTTTCATCTGCGAAGTATGCAACAAGGGTTTCAAGAGAGACCAAAACCTGCAGTTACATCTGCGAGGGCACAATCTTCCATGGAAGCTTAAGCAGAGAAACCATCAGGAGGTTGTAAGGAAGAAGGTGTATGTATGTCCAGAGAAGAGTTGTGTGCACCATGACCCTAGTAGAGCTTTAGGTGATTTAACGGGGATAAAGAAGCACTTTAGTAGAAAGCATGGTGAGAAGAAGTGGAAGTGTGATAAGTGTTCTAAGAAATATGCAGTTCAATCTGATTGGAAGGCTCATAGTAAGATTTGTGGTACTAGAGAGTATAGATGTGACTGTGGCACAATATTCTCCAGGTATGCATATCCACCATTAATGCATGTTTGAAAAACCGAAATCACATTGAACAATAACATTATTAATACTAATGCAAGTTTAACTTTCTCAATACTAATGAAGTAGATTCGTGATTCTGTCAAATTCAATGCTAATTCAAACATGTAGGAATTCTTTGAGACTTTGATAGGACCAGTGGGCCACTAACTTGTTAATCATTTTATTGTGTGACAATTGATAAATCAGGAAGGACAGTTTCTTAACGCATAGAGCCTTTTGTGAATCCTTGGTGGAGAGAAGTGGAAGAATAGGTTCAGCTCCAGCAGTTTTATCCAACTTTGGAAACAATCTTTTGATCAACACTCAAGCTCAAGCTCAAGCACCAAGAATTCCTCATGGATTATTTGGGCTTAATCAGGAATTCGGCGGACCAGTTCCAGAACAATTCATGGGAAATTTTCTCAATAATAATCCTCCTCCTCATCATCATCATCAGATTAACATCCCTCATCATAATTATCTTTCAAGCAACGCCACTACTACAACTAGTGTATTCTCAACATCAGAAGCAAACTCCGATTTAGAATTACTTCAGACAAACATGAATACATTCGGCTCAATACCAAATGGGCAGTGGATGAATTACCGTTACACCGATCAACAAGAAGTATCCATGCCTATGCTTACTCAAGGAGTACTCAAGCTAGAACAAGAAGAAAACAACAAAATGAATGATTTTTCTCATTTGTTTTATCAGAATCAATTACAAGGAGGTCCAAGTCACATGTCGATGGAATCTCAATCCACAACAAGAAAGCTGAACAATGGTAATAATTCTGCACCTCCCAACATTGTTGAAATTAAGAAACTGTTCAAGCAAGGAAACCATGCAGGAAATTTGAATGAAGATCAACTAAGCTTAACTAGAGATTTCCTTGGAGTTGGAGTTGGAGATGATTCATTGAAGAAACCCTTGTTGCAACAAGAGATCCCTAGGTTTAATCCAATAGGACCTGTCATGAACATGCAAAGTGATCAGTTTGGTGGACACTATTGATGATAGAAAAATAGCGAGCATTAGCAATGTGAACTATATATGAGTTTTATTGAAGTAGTGAAGCTGTAAGATATTATATACAATACATATATATATCATGCAGCAGCAGATAAATACAATGCTCGTGACACTATACTCTCGGATTCAGAGGCATGCACAGTATATAGTGAGATATCATATCATTAGAGTTCACGTGAAATGATAATCGTAGAGAAAGCCCGTGAGGGAGGTAGGGGCCATTGCATCTTGATCGTAAGAGACAAACAGCATACAATCTCTCTCTCTCTCTCTCTCTTTTTTATTTGTTTCTTAAATTATCTCTTCTTATATAGTTGATAATTATAATGTAGGGCATATAGAACTTGAAACAGAAATAACGCGTTATAGTTGTAGAACTTTACAGTTTCTGACATGGGGGCAATGGCTGGCGGATATGGCCTACTTCATTTGTTTTTAGCAGAACCTTTCTGCTGTGGAAACCGTGAACTTGAAGTATAGCTTCCCACTAAGATAAATACTTTTTGCGAAAACATAAAGATTGGCGCTAAATTGCGGACACTAAAACCTCAGTTAATGAAATCTATTTAAGAGGTTTGTTGTGTAAGTCTTAAAATCTCTTTCATTGTGTAAAATAAAGAATGAATTTGTTTGGTCAACAATGCCACACCCGCATCGCTCAACATGGATTGCATGCAAGGCGCGCGGGTGCCAAAAAATTTATAGTCGATTTTGATTTTATATTATTTACGAGGGGGAATTCTGTTTAAATTAGTTTTGCTATATATAGATAGTCTTAAATTTAGATAAAGGGAGAGAGTTGTATTAGATAGTCCACAATGTCAAAAAAGAAAGGGTCGTTTGCATCGCCGTTTGGTTGTAGTGAAAAATAAATAAGAGTTTTCACATTTTTGTAAATGGGTGTGCGTAAAGAAATTAGTTCTTGAGAGGAGGATTCACTTTGAATCATGGAATATAGGAATACTTACTGAAAAATCAACGGAAATAGTGAACGTTATGGTTAAAAGGAAGGCACATGAAATTAAGTGGAGAAATGAAAAAGCGAAAGAATTAGAAAACTCGGGATTTAAGCTTTGGTACACTAGAAAAGTTAGATTGAAAAATGGGGTGAGAATTATTGTGGGAGAAGGATATTGTAGATGTGAAAAGAGTAGAAAATCGAATCATAGCCTTGAAATTTGTAGTGTAGCAAGACACTTTTAATGTACTTAGTGCTTACCGCACCTCGGGTTGGATTAGCGGAACACCTTAAGATAAAATTATTGGAGGACTTGGAAGGTATACTTTAGGATATACCCCAACGAGAAAAGTTTTTCTTTGGAGGAAATCTTATTGGACAAGTAGGTAGTGTAGCAAGAGGTTTTAAGAGAATGCGTGGGGGTTTGGCCTTGGGGAGGTGAATGCGGTGGGTAAATCCATCTTGGAGTTTTCGTCGGCTTTGGATCTTACTATAGCAAATACATGGTTTAGGAAAATAGAAGATCTTATCACATATAAAAGTGGGGTGACATGTTATCTAGTAGATTTTTTCTTATTAGGAAGCCCGATAGAAAAATTTGCTTGGACTATAAAGTTATTCCGAGAGAGACTTTGACTATCTAATATAGACTTTTAGTTACAAATGTAAGAATTAAGGGGAGAACAAAGAGAATAAGTCATATGGTAGTGTCTTATCGAAACTTTCCATGTTGGGCAAGGTAGTCGATTAAAAATGACTAATCCAATTGATTATGACCTTATGTCAAACGATTAGAACATTAAAAATACCTATGGATCTTTTCCTTTTTCGGTTTCTCCTTCCCCAATATAAAGGAAGGTCACCTCTTCTTCATTTCATACCGATTCCCGAAGATTTACATTTTAATTGTAATTTATCTCTATTTTTCTCCCTCTCTCTCAAGAAACATTTTTCTCCCACTACTAGAAAAAACACATTTAACGTCGGACGCAAAATGCATTTAACTTCGACTATAGAGACATGGTAACAATAGGCGTTATGAAAAGTTCACACTTGACCTCTCAGTTTTAAAATAACCGACGGGTATGTGAAATGGTCATGGGTTGGATCCTTAAGAAGACCTTTTTGGAATTCTGAAACGGCGAAAACACATGTCCCATCACTTTTGCACTTTCACCGACGGATATACCACATTTTTACCTCGGTTATCTAATAAAATCGATGGGTAAAATAATTTTGAGTTCATTAAATCTAATGTGGATTGCTTATTTCACTAAACCCGAAACTGAACATATAACTTCTAAAAATTGGTTAGGAAAATAATTATATGAACAATTGTGTCATATTTGAAGAACAACTTACATTGATTATGATTTTGAATCATCCAGTAACTCGTCACTCTTCTCACGCTGTTTTATGGTTAAAATCTCTCAAATGTTTCAAGTTCTTTCAATTCCTTTTCAACTGTTGTGAATCTTGTTGTAAATTACGAAAAAATTCAATATCAATTTGTGAGGGAAAGAACAATAGCAAACAAAATAAACGGTCTTCAGCAGTAATAATCTGTACACAAATAATATAAAAGAATAAGATAAGAAAAAACCAAAGATTTGTTTACCTAGATCGATCAAATGATCTACTATTGGGGAGAGAACAGGTCTCCAATTCACTATACTCAGAAAGTTTTTACAAGAGATTACAGATGAGTTACAAGAAAATAGCCTTCGCCTTCAGATTCCCAAGAACAACCCTGAAGGCGCCCAAGAATAGCCCTATTTTCTACCCAAGTGTTTCCCCACCTCTCCAACTCTCAATATATGAATCACTCAAACCTAAGGTGTAATCTAAGGTTTTCTTCGTGCATAGCTGAAACCCTATGCTATGCCTTTAAACCCTTGCTCTCCCTTATTGGTGTAAACTCTAAGATTATCACACACCAAGCATATAAGAGATACATATTTATAATAACAAATACCCAACAAGCAAAGTCCAAAATCACATGGGTCCATGGACCGAATCGAAAAAGCCTGAAAACTTGAAAATATTATTCACCGTACGACAACACTATTCATCGTACGGACGTTGTTATTCATCCGTATGGATAACACTATTCACCGACCGATTTCTTTTCTCGACTTTTCATTTGACTTTCTAAAAGTTCCGATTTTCGCGATAAATGAAATCTCTAAAATATTTTTCTTTCTCTTCATCAACAAAGGTTTTAAGGCACATTTACAACAATCTCCACCTTGGCTTTAAACCGTGTTGATACCAGTCAACAACATTGTCACTCTCTACCAAGTTGAAACTTTAATCAATATAGCTTTGATCAAATTCAAGCAACCCTTGAATCTTGATCTTGCAACTTGCATCCACTTGTTCTCAATTACCCTTTTCTTCCTAGGTAATTTAACAAGCCTACAAGTGTGATTTTTCAACCACCCTTGACTCCACCTATTTTCAAATGTCTCCCTGAAGGTTTTTCTTCTTTTATTTTGCAGTACTTCAGCCACATTTAAACATAATATCCAAGACTTGCATCACCGTCCCTTTGAGATGCTATAATAACCTTTCGTACCTTATCATGAGTCAAATGATAATCAGAGATCTCTGTAACTGTTCCCTCACTAATGCTAGCATCCATAGTAGGAAACTCCACCTCAAACTGAGTTTTCTCTGTTATAGTTTCTCCCTTGGTTTTCACTATTCTTCTTCTGAAGAAATTATCTACCAACCAAGTAAGTTGTTTTAACCTCAACTCTTCCCCAAAAACTTAATAACAACTCAGCAGTAACATGCATTTTTATCCCTTGATTTCTACAAAATTCATTGTACTCCTCTGAAACTTTCTCAAGGCATTCATAACGCCTTAAACTCAAATCCCATAGCTCTTCCTTGTCATGAAAGCCTCCACTAGTTAACGATGAATGAATAATAACATTTGAACCTTCTAAAATATATAGACAACATATTTTAGACCCTTTAGCAATAATCAATTCATCACGCGAAATCTTCAACACTCCACGTTCAACTCTAGTATAATAGCCTAGATCATCAAACATACTTATAGATAAAAAAATTTGCTTCAGTTTTGGAACATACCTCACATTGTGAATAAAAAGTTCATGATCATTAAACATTTTAAATCTGATTGTACTAATACCATGAACCTTGCATGTCTTATTACCAAGGCGAACTACTCCACCTTGCACCATCTTCAAAGTTTCAAAGTATTTTATTCTTGGATACATGTGATAAGAGCAACCTGAGTCAATGAGTCAACTACCTTCAGTTTCCAAACTTGATACTACTAGTGCTTCAGAATCCTCATAACTTTTCTCACCCAATGCAACTACAGCTTGAACAGAATCTTCACTTACCTTTCTTTCGGGACAACCCCTTTTAAAGTGACCGATTTTCTGACAATTAAAACTTTTTACCTTTGACTTGTCAGACCTCTTTGATTTGGACATCCCTTTACGCTCACCTCCTCCTCTTGACACATTTAAGCCTTCACCACTATCTTCAATCTTCAAAGCTTTCGACTTTGAAAATTCTTTGGATTTCACCGCCGTCTGGACTTCATCCAAATTAATAGTACCTTCCTTACCACAAATAAGGGCATCCTTAAAGTGCTCAAAGGATTTTGGTAATAAACTCAATAGGAGCAAAACCTTGTCCTCATCATCAATATTCACTTCAATACTCTCAAGATCATCGATAATCTTGTGAAATTCTGTGAGCTGCTCAATTATGGATTTGTTCTCCACCATTGTGAATGAATAGAGTTGTTGTTTCAGATACAACATGTGAGCCAAAGACTTTGTCATATACAGTGATTCAAGTTTTTCCCACATAGCAACCACAGTTTGCTCCCTGACGACTTCACTTAGAACTTTATCCCTGAGGCACAAGATAATGGCACTCCTAGCCTTATCCACCATCTCGGTCTTCTGTACCAGTGTAAGCCCTGCATGCATCAATACTTTAATCTTCAAAGTATCGATACACTTCTCGAATTAAA